TGCCTTTTAGAGGCCCTAAAACCACAGCCCTTAATGCCCTACTTCTTCAGCTCCTACCCTCACTCTGTCGGTGTTCCGCTGGCTCCACTTTTATGAGAGCTTTCTAACTACTGTCAGTGCACAGGCAAATGGAAGGAGTTTCCTCAAACTGTCCCTGTCACCACTACTGCTGTCAGTAAGATTGGACAGATCCACGAGGTGGTTGTTTTCAGTTCCAGCCTTTTGCTCCCCACCATGGTTTGTGACCTGGAGGCTCAGCGACAGGGTGGATGGATCACACCTCTCGGTCTCTCTTATTAAGCCTAAAATCCCTGAAGCTCAAAAATTTTGGTTTTTCTATACAGTATGTGATTCCTGCCATTTTGACTGGGACCTTACCACCATCTTAAACTGAAGTCAGGTGACTTCACCACCATCTTAACTGAACAGCTTTTTTCATACACCATTTGACCTCTGTCATTTTGACTGAAGTCAGGTGGCCAAGTTCCACCATCTTTACTGAGGTATTCCCTGCCTGGTTCCCCAGTGTTAACTCTGTTGCATGGGTGACCTTACTGCCATCTTAACTGAGAGCCAGGTCAGGTGACCAAGTCCTGCCATCTTTACTGAAGTATACCCTGCCTGGTCCCCCAGTTTACTTATGTTTTTGTCTCTAAATTCATCTTGCTGACTCCTTTGCATGTGTGTTTTGTGCAGTGGCATGCCTTTAGTAGGGCCCACCAAGAGGATTCACCCAATTCGTCTTCACTCTGTGTGTATGTTTATACATGTAACTTAAATACACCTATGATTACTGTTAAATGTTATAATTGTCTGTTCACTGCATCTCATTTCAGACTACAAAAATAATAGGTTTTAAACTGGTATGTACTTTTCTCTTACAAAATTACTTTATATTTAATCTAACACTCACTTAAAATATATTAAGATGTTCTCTACTATTGTTAGTTCTTCTGTTAACCTTCTATTGTAAACAGATTTTTCTTCTTTCTGTCTTCTTATGAGTGTAAATCTTACCTGTTAAGAGCCAGTCCAATCAAGCTCAGACCCAGCTTTCCAGGCAGATTCTATACTGTAGTTATACCTGATAAATAGTCCTCAAGTGTTCAGAGACCTGAGGAATATGGCATTTAAATATTTAATTATTAAAAAAAAACTTTTCATAACAAAAAGAGACAGTTTGGCTCCTAACAGCACTCTACTTCCTCCAAAGAAGACAGAAGACAAATGGGCACAGAACAACATCCATCCACAATTCGCTTCAACTGCCAAGTGCTGACCACTGGGAAAAACAGCCTTTTATCTAAACTGAAGATCCAGACAGTGTACAGATTTGCTGGAACTGATAGCCTAGCTGCTCAGGTCAAGGTAGGCTTGTCTTCCTACAGATTTCTCAGCCCACAGGATCTTCTGAAGCCTGACAAGCCCTGTGCTAAACAGCAAAAGGCAAATACAACCTTCAGCGACCATGGACGACCCTGAGGAGTAACTCTAGGTGCCAACCAAGTAACTTTTCTGTCATTTTTAAATCAATAACTCAAGTAAAATTTCACCCTTCTCAAAGATCTCTGATGCAGGTTAATAGCTGAGAGGTTTTGTCAGTTTAAAAGAACAACCTCACCAAACAAATTTTAGTGAAATACAAATACAGGACCTGCAAGTTATAAAGGTGTGAGGAAAAATACGTGTTATCAAATTTCTCTCTCATGCTACCTTCCATAGTCTTAAAAATACTTTTCATTGTGCAAAAATATCTGTCACAGTCATTCTGACATAAATATGCTATTGTTTATACAATGTATATATCTAAAACTTCTGTTTTCACAAACCCAAGGAATTCTTGTGAGTTCCAGGGAGCCGAATTGAAGGATCTACCTTAAGCAGGTCAGATACACCCCCTCAGTTCCCTGATCCTAAATTTTTTTCCTTAACTTAACTTTGTCCTCTATTCTGCCAATACCTTAAACAGGTGTAAGAGACACCAGACATTTCCACACCACAAACATCAGACAGGAACAAACAGACCAGCTATGCCAGGATGTGACCAGCACCCAGCCTTTTCAGGTTCTCCCCTCAAAGACAATGCCCACAAATAAACAGGAAGCAGTCTTGAGAATCCACCGCCCCAATTCCTTTAACCTGTGGTACCTAACCTCCTGCCTTTTTATTATAAAAAAAAAGAGATGGGAATGTAATGATCTGTTCTTTCTTTAAGAGACAAGTTATACCCACTCGCTCCCCTGCTCACTGAAGCAGGCAGATCTTCCTTCCTGCTTACATTCTGAGTCTCTTCCTGTTCTGTCTCCCTCTCAGAGAGGCAGCTTCTTTATCTTCTCTCCTCTCTCTCTCTCTTTCTCTCCTCTCCTCTCTCTGTCTCTCTGTCTCTGTCTCTGTCTCTCTCTCTTCTCCCCTTTCCCCTTTCCCTTCATAACCCACTTAATAAATATCCAACCTCACTCTGCATGGCGTGCCTATCCATCTTTCTCTTGCCCGCCGCTACCACGTGGCTCACTGCCTGGGACCAGTCACCTTCAGAGACCTGTGGCGTAGTCTTGTGTGCCTTCCCTGACTGGGACTGACTGCTCTGGGGCCCACTGCAGCCACTTGGGATCCATAACATTTTATTAATCCATTTCAGACACTCTTCCTTTCCTTTCCCAAAATAGCATGGCTCTTCACACTCTTTAGCTACAGGTTCATCTTGTCAGTCCGTCTTCCCATGAGTTTCTTCTATTAATCTTTGCATGCATGTCTACAGTCTCTTCTAAGAATACCATCTGCTGCAGTTGCTTGATTTTGAACCCACCATAAACTTAGTGCGTCTTAAGATCTTTAAGTAGCTACATCTGGAGGAACCTTATTTCCAATTAAGATTACATTCTGAGGTGTGCATAAATTGTTGAGGATGCTAGCCAATACACACACAGTAAGTGTACAATGAATAACAGCATAATCACTACATGCCTAGGCATACTCTTTCATCATCTACTTCCATTGTTCCCAGGACCTTTCTTTGGGAACATTTATTTGTACATGTAGTCAGTGCTGACCACTTGCAAATTCTCATGTGCCTCTGTTAGACCATAGTAAGTTTCATGTGAGTAAGAACCAAGCTAAATTTTAACCATCATTATATCTCAGATACTTAACAGTTTTTCTTACATAGAACTAAATGTACAACTGTTGAATTAATAAACAAGTGATTGAATTACAAATGCACAAAGAAGCAATAAATTACAGAAACATGCTAGCCTTCCTGCCTAAAACCTGGAGGTCACACCCAGAGACAAACCAGCTTTATCTGCAAAGGTAGGCTCCACCCTTGGTTTTGCTACCTCTCTTAAAGCTGGCTGCATTTGTATAATCACATTATACAGTGTGCATGTTTTACATGATCAGTATATGTCACCCTAAGTGAACATGTCACCATGCCTAATGGCTTCTGCAGGCATCATTTATTGGGGTTGGCATTCTTCTTTTAGATGCTTGCTCCAATGAGTGTGGCAACCCTGGGCCTTGGACCCTCAATGCCAGTTACCTCTCACCTGCAATTTTTGCTGAATTAAATATGACAAGAAAGTGGCTTTGGGAAATTGTAATAATTGGCAGTATAAAGTACATGATTATGTCATTAGCTCTTTCTGGGTAGCACTTATGATTGTGACCATATTTCTCTGCTTTGGAGACCATCAGAACTGCACAGCAAGAAGGAAGAATGTCTAAGCACTTCCCAATCCAGTTCTCCCTATCACACCACACCTTTTCTCCTTCTAGCAATATGTTTAAAAAATAAACTCTTCAGGGAAAAGACCTGGGTGTTTGTTCTAGTATGAACATTCCAATACCGTGTAGCCATTGGTAAGCTGTCTCAGTAGAGGTCTCTGGCCATCAGATCTTGAGGTGGAATGATTGAAGTAATAGGGAGAATCCCATTACTGGGATCTAAGCATGCTGTTGCGTGCATTAATACTGCCACAGCATTAATAGCATTAAAGTAGCTATGTTGAAAGGAATGAGAGCTTGATCTTTACAACTAGCATATCTGGACATTATACAATTCTTAAATTCTCAGATACTTATAAGAAACAGTAAAGAAAACATGATCAAAAGATAATAAACTAGGCCTGAAAATTCCTTTTACTGGAGAGATACAGGTATGATGGCAACCTTTGGCTCCCATTGGCACATATATTTGAATGATTAGTCATCAGGGAATGGTACTACTTGAGAAGAATTGGGGGTGTGATCTTTTGGGGGGATTCAAAAGCCCATGCTTCTCTCTCTCTCTCTCTCTCTCTCTCTCTCTCTCTCTCTCTCTCTCTCTGCATCAGGACATAAGCTTGCAGGTACTGCCACAGTGCCATGCATGGCACCATGCTCCCTGCCATGATGATAAATAATTAAAACTATGAACAAGCTCCCAATTAAATGCTCTCTTTTATAAGACTTGTTTTGGTCGTGGTGTCTCTTCACAGCAGTAGACCAATAACTAAGACATTGACCCAAGCAAGATGTTCTCTAAAGTATGGAAACTCTGAATACCAGTGCAGAGAAGAAGATAGGTATCACCTAAACAGGAAAAGTGATTCTGAAACATCACTCATTCCCATGTCTCCCTTTCTGGTACTTCAGTAGACATGGGAGTGATCTCCTCTTCCCTTCCTATGGGGATCTGCATTAATTTGTGCCACAGTGTGGTAGTCCTCTCATAGTAGGGACAACGGGGAGTACTGTGTTTCAATCTCCACAGATAACCACAGTACAAATGTTCCATCATGACTGGCAATGAGTTACCATGTGGCGTCACTGAATGCAGAATGAGGAAGCGGGAGCATACTAGCTTTCAGACTGCTCCCAGAAGCACTTAAGAACTTCCTGCCCACACCACAAATAATCTTCCATCAGTAGTCCAGAGATCCACAACCAACCATGAAGAATGGGCACCAAAACTCAAAACCTTTTTGTTCTTTATTTAACTTTATAATTTTACAGTTCAATAAATGTAATTTCAGAGGAGAAATGGAAAAGATAGAAAACCATACAAAAATCAGAAAGCTAGAACTCTGGTATGCAGCATTCTGGGTCTGATCTGCTCAGTGTCTCTCCAGAGGCTACATGGGATGGTCATATGAATCTGCAGAGGTTCAGACAAGGAAGCAAGCACCACTGGCAGATGACCAGCATCTCTTCATGTGTTTAATATTAACACAACTTTCTGGAGCTGTACTATTATTATACCTATAAGAAATTAGAGAAAAAAACTAAGGTTTTTCACATAAGACTTTGCATAGCTTTCCTGGGATTACAAAGGGACTAAGTAGAGAAGCAGCAAAACACTTACTTCAAAACTCAGACTCTTGGGGTTTTTTTTTTGAGATTTATTTATTTATTATGTATACAGTGTTCTGCCTGCATACCAGAAGAGGGCACCAGATCTCATTATAGATGCTTGTGAACCACCATGTGGTTGCTGAGAATTTAACTCAAGACCTCTGGAAGAACAACCAGTGCTCTTAAGCTCGTAGCCATCCCTCCAGCCCCCAATAGTTTTTTTAAGATTTATTTATTTTATGTTTATGGTGTTCTACATGCAAGTGCACCTGCATGCCAGAAGAGAGCATCAGATCCCATTATAGATGGCTGTGAGCCACCATGTGGCTGCTGGGAACTAAACTCAGGGCCTCTGGAAGAACAGTCAATGCTCTTAACCTCTGAGCCATCTTTCTAACCCCCAGAATTCAGACTCTCAACTACATACAATCATCAACTTTCCGTGTGTTCTCCCATGATTCCCACCTCCCTGCACTCACAGTAGTAGCTATGGTGTAGATGATGAATGATGAACAAACATACGTATGTCAAGACTTGGTCCTCCAGCATGGAAGGAGGAGGTAGAAGCTGAGGAAGATGTAAGGCCTCCAAAGGTAATGTTGGTGGCACTGCTTGGTAGTTTGGGTGAAAGGATTGTTATGATAATCACAATTTGTTCCACCCCATGTTCTGCATCCAGATATGTCAGTTTGTTCCTCTAATGTTCCTGCCATGGAAGGTTACCATCTACGACTCCTACCAGAACAGAGTCCTGGGACCACTTCCAATCTTAACTAACCCTTTGTCACTTTAATTTGATACATTGCTGATTAGTTTGTGCCAAACAGATACAAGCTAGAGTCACAAGAGGAGGGAACATCAAATGAGGAACTGCCTACATCAGATTGATCTATGAGCATATATGTGGGACATTTCCTTGCTTAATGTTTGATGTGTGAGGACCCACCCCACTTTTGGGCATTGTCATTCCTATAAGAAAATAGGTTGAGCAATCCATGAAGAAAAGCAAGCCAGTAAACAACATTCCTCCATGGCCTCTGCTTCAGTTCTTGCCTCCAGGTTCCCAACTTGAGCTCCTGACCTGATTTTCTTTAATGGTAAACTGCAATATGAAAGTGTAAGCAAAATAAACCCTTTTCTCTTCAAGTTGCTTCTAATCAAGGGGTTTATCACAGCAACAAAAACAAATTAAAACCATTTCCTTAGATACCATAGAATGACAACAAAAGTGACATACACAGCTACCTTGTGCTGTCTCTTCCTCTTAACTACAGAAGGAAGTGAGCAGCTATATAGAGAATGACAGAAGGTGTTGAGATGCCATCTCCATATTTAAGTCCTTAAAGACTGGTATTATTTTGCCTGAGTTCCCTCTCCTATCTTTTCCCTTGATTACCTTAGTGAAGGTAGCCACAATGTTACCTGACTATCTATGAGGCAGCCACATGGCCATAAACAGAGGGAGATCTCTGGCCAGCACTCTTGAAGACCTTGGATCTTAGTACAACACCCAAAAGGAACTAATCCCAGTAACTTTGTTAATTAGAGAGGAGTAGATTATCTGTACTCTGACAAGGCTGAAGAATCAGCCAATCCTTGATTTTCAATCTTTAGTACAAGAGCACACATTTATCCATGACAAATGTGTTCAAAATTAAAACTATTAGGTAAGATGACGAAAGGTACCGTTCAAGTTGCTATATATCAAGATACTCTGTTAGCAAAAACTGAAAAAAAAATGTGAAGTAGTTGACCCAAAAAGCTGACCTGTGCCATCAAGTTTCTTTACTGCATTAAAACTGATCCTTTCTTATTTAAAATTGGGTGCTATGGCAGAATCTGCTATGCAGGTGCCATAATACTGAGAATCAGGATGAACTAATGCAAAAAAAGAAAGAAACACACCAAAAACAGGTCTATACCTTCAGTTCTTCTCTGTTGATCTGTAGGTCTGTCTTTAGAGAAATATGATGCTTCTTTTTGTTACTATGGCTCTTGAGAATATGACCGTTGGAAGTCAGGTAGTGGCATATTCCTGCCATTGTTACTTTGTTTAGGATTGCTCTGATTTTGTCTTTTGTGCTTCTGTATGAGACTTTTTGTTTTATTATTTCTTCGAGAATTTCATGCAATGAGTTTTGGCCACATTCACTCCTCTCCCATCTTCTCTCAGATATAAGTCCCTTTACTACACACCCAACTTTGTCTTCTCTTTTGCATTTTCTTACACATCAAGTCGAATTTGTGTTGGCCATATATTCATGGATGGGTGTTCTTCTTGTGTTCATTCACAATGTCTGACCCTTACAGTCTCTCTGTCTCCTCTTCCACAGTGATCCCGAGCCTTTGGAGAAAACAGTGCAATATATTTAGGGTTGAGCATATCACAGTCTCTTATTCTCTCCACCTTAGCCAGTTGTGGGCCTTTGTATTCACCACCATCTACTGCAGACAGAACCTTCTCTGATGCATTAATTGAAGAGTACCATAGTCAATCATTACAAGTTGGTTCGATACTATATCCATTTGGTAGAATAATAGCAGTAAGTTCTCTCCTAGGACCTACATTCTGTCTTGCTGCAGGTTCTTGACCTAGCAATGGTGACTGGTTTGTGTCTCATTGTGAATATAAGATGGTTTTATACTTCTATAAAGAGTGCTTTTGGAATTTTAATGTAGATTCCATGCACTGTGTCTACTCTTGGTATTATAACCATTTCTGAAATATTAATTCTCTCGTTCCATGAGTAAAAGAGGTCACAGTACTGTTTACAGTGTTAAATTATGGAACCAGCATAGATGTCTGTCCCCAGAGGAAAAAATTAAAGAAATTGTGACACATGTACACATTGGAATTGCATTCAGTCATAAAGAACAAAATTATATTCTAAGCAAATGGAACAAAACTAACAAAAACAAATATATTTTCCCCACTTGTAGATCCTAGATATTATATAGATCTGTAAAATTGTGTACATAAAAGTAGAACCAAAATACCTGGGTAAACAAAGGAGATTCGTGGAAAGGGAGGAGGAAAGAGAGAGTTTGTAGTGAAAAAGGTCAGAGTACATTATATATTTCTATTAAAAGGCCCTTTTGGAACCATGTAAGGTAAATACATGCAAAGAAAAACTGCTCCTAGAAATCAGTTCAGTCTAGCCCCAAATCTTTGAGATGTTTTTCACTCCATTGTAGTATATAAACAGGACAGGGAAGAAAAGTTAGAGCAAACATAAGGGAAAAGGAGCCAGAGGGGATTTCCTACCAGGAACAAGATGGAGGTGAATAAATGGTTCACAGGACTTAAAACCAGAGTTAGAGTCAAGTCTCTTCTGTGGCAAGCCATGAGGAAGATGTAAAATTTACCCACAATGCCTTCAAAGACAGTCATGTTTATGCCTTACAAAAGTCTCAGCAGGCTGTGCACAACTCCTTGGAAAGTAAAACTAGGTGACAAGAGGATAAAACTATACATTCTACATAACTATGGGGTAGAATTACTGCCTACATTCATTCCCTACCACAGAAATCATGGGAGTATGGGAGTTCAGTTCCTCGTGAGTGTGTGCATGTGTGTGTGTGTGTCTGTGTGTGTAAAAATCTGCCTCTCTCTGCTCTATCAGCACAGAAATTGCAAGAGAGTGTCAACCATGCCTGAATTTTTCATGTGAGTTCTAGAGTGTAAACTGAGGTCCTCATAATTGCAAGGCAAATGCCTTATTGGTTGAGCCATCTCCAAGGTTGCCCCCTTCTTTCTCTATGTGCATGTCCATGTATGGAGGTCAAAGGACAACTCTCAAGGGTTGATTCTACCACTACATGGGACCTAGGGAATGCACCCAGGTAGTCAGGTACATATGCAAGTGTCTCTAACCACTGAGATTCCTTTCTAGGATCCACCTCTCATTTTTCTGTTCTTGAGACTGACAAATCAACTTGGGTAATTCCTAGAAATGTTGACATTACTTGATCAACATATGTCAGCTGAAACAAAGCAAAAATCACTGAAAATATTTTCAAAGGAGAAAATAAGGTTTATTTACAGATCTCCTATTTCCCAGAATACAATAGTGAGATGCTTAAAGAATAAACTTGAGACTGGGTTGAGTTTGAACTTGAACATAAAGCTTACCACTGATGTGTCCCGGGATCCCTGGACAAATATTTCAAACTGTTTAGGCCCCAGGCTCTCTATATGAACAAAAAGCTGTAACCTTCCCTAACATTGCAATGGTTTTTTAGAATAACATGAATTCATGTATTCAAAGTGTTTAGTACAAGGAATGGCACCCAGCAGGGTGCTCAATGAGTGACCCTTCTGCTGTATCTGTTTATACTTTAGAAAAAAAAACAAAGACACATTGAAAAACTCCTAAGGTCAATGTCTCAATATTTCTGGGCTTTATAGAAACGTATCAAGTGACATTGAACAAGATGGAAAGAAAGAAAGGAGGGATCTCTGCAATGAAATGTTTAGGAGGAGATAGCAATTTAGTAGAAACATTTATTGGTTTTTGTTTATTTAAGAATTTCAAACATATGCACAACGTATTCTGATTATGTCATCCCCATTTCCCTTCTGACTCCTCCTTGACTCCTCCTATTCTATCTCCTTCTCTCAACTTCCTCTCTTTTGTTTTTGTTTTATAACCCACTGAGTCAAATTAGTTCTGCATGTATGCACATGAATATAAGGTCATCAACCCGAACATAGGCAGACCCTGGAGCGACACTGACTCTTCCTTTCCCAGCAGCTACCAACCTCAGGGTGGGGTCTCAGGAGTACCCTCTCCACTCCTTGCTGGGATTGTGATCTTATGCAGGCAGCCACAGCTGATGTCTGTTCATGAGATGAATGGCCCTGCCAAGTGCAGAAGGCCCTGTTTCACCGAGGATCTCCCTGACATCTAGCTCTTACTATCCTTCTGTGTATCTTCTGCTTTGTTCCCTGAGCCTTGTGAGGAGAAGACGTGGTATAGTATCACATTGAGGCTAATCACTCTGCTGTTTTCTTCTCATAATAGACAGCAGTTAGTATACAGGAACAAATTGCTTAAAACACACATCCCACTAAAAGGCCTTTTTAGTTCTTTCCATATACAAACATGCATGATTCTGTAAAGAAGGAGAATGCATGGATTGTTTTCAGAACTTTATTCAACACGAAATTGCTTCGGGGGACATATATATTAGAGGCCATCTCTGTGGAATTGCCTCAGATGTTCTTCTCCAGAAATTTTGCTCACCTGAGACAATATTTCACAGCTGGAGTCATAAGGGGCACTTACTCTGTGCTTTGTCTTAGCCCCCTTCTCTGCTACTTTCAGCCCTGAGTAAACCATCTAAAATGCAAAAGCCCCACTTAGCCTAGTCTTGCTGTACATTCTCCAAGATCTACTGTAGAAATTCAGTTTTTCACTTTGAGTTTGGGATTATTTTTATCTATGACCTTTCTGCCACTCTCCACTTCAGCGCCCTGCCTCATACCTTACCAAGGTTCTTAGTGCTAACCGAGAAGTTTGCTGAGGATTATGCATTAACCACATGGGATGCTTGTCTTCCTTGTCTCTGTTTTTGTGTCGTGCAATGAAATTTCAGACTGCTGAGTCCCCAAGACTTTGTTCTTGCTGGACGTCAATGCAGAAGGGATACTCCGGTTCAGCACCTTGGAGGGCAGCATCCGCTATCTATGAGTAGGGGTGGATAATTTCTGCTTAAATACGGGGATCGTTCACTCCCTGGTCTAGATATGTGTCCCACACCCTATATACCCAGATTTGTCAACATGTCAACCAATGCAACAACAGCTGTTGAGTGCCAAAACTAGCCCCATGTGAAGCTGAGCCATAGCTGACTCAGGAAATGTCTCTGCCAAGGCCTTGGATTCTCTTTTATTTCACCCAAAGCTTTCATCTCCCTGCGTTCTCAGTTAACCTGAGCTATTTCCTCATGTCTTTTCTCTGGCGACTGTCAGTGACTAATCCCTGAAAGTGCTAAGCTGCTCACTTGAGTGTAAACTGATTTTAAAAAAAAAAAGATGCCAGCTAAACAGATGAAACATTATCAGTGAATTGTGTGCTTTAGATAGGGTACTCTAAGACTGATAAGCCTTAAACCTCCAAATAAAGCCATAATTGTGGCATAGAAGAAAGACAGGGAAGAGCTGAGAGGTGAAATAGTGGCTCTGTCAATTTATTCCTTCTTGCGTGCACTTGCTAACCAAATATGAACTGAGTGCCCGCAGCACCAGGCTCTGTGCTGGGTGGACAGAGCAGTGAATAAAACATGCAGCCAATAATCCTGAAAGGTGGAAATTATCGAGCTAAAGAATTACGTGTGGTCATAAATTATAATAAAGCTATGATTTAAGAAAAGGAACAGGACAGTATAATTGAGAATATGAAGACTGTCCTAGTGCAGACAGGAGGGTCAGGACATTGCCTCTGAGGAACATTTAAGTTGAGACTTCAAAAATGAGAAATGGGGCTGGGGACGCACTTCAGCTGCCAGAGTGCTTGCTTAGCATGCAAGGGGCCTTGAGTTTGATCTGCAATACATAAACCAGGAATGATGGCATCTGCCTGAGATTTCAGAGACTAGAGGGTGGAAGTATGGGTATCAGGAAATTCCAGGTTATCCTTGGCTATATAGCATATTCAAGACTAACCTGGGCTACATATGGCCTTGCACCAAAATGAAATAAAGATAAGAAATTAAGACCCGTGAAGTGAGAAGGGAACATTATAGTCAAAGAAATGTTCTAAAGAGAGAATGGCTTGGCTTTTTAAAGAGTAAAGTAAGATAGGTACGGACATGATACACTGAGGGAGGGAGAAGTGCCACAAGATGAAGTTCGTGGCTGTCTTACTGTATAACAGGCAAGACAGAATCGAATATGACACTGTGTTTTCTGTCCATGTGTGTGGTCAGCTTGGAATCTATTCTTGGTTGAGTCCCTCCCACCTTCTGGCAGCAAACTAGTTCACTCATGATCTCAAAGCAATACCAAAGGCACAAAACATGCAATGTTCCATGCGATTTGGGCATGAAAATACAATTCCATGTCAGTCAAAGCAAGCAACACCCTGAACTAAGCATCCATGAGAAGGTACTGTATATTCACAAACCAAAGATCTATATACCAAGCAGGAATGGAAACCTGAGCTATGCATGAAACCTGTCAAGAGTAAAATAACAGGTAGATAGAATCAGATCAGTTAAGTCCTTCTGGGCTGATCCATGCAGCTTAGATTTTATTGTACCATAGAATGCCATGAAGCTGGTCTTCCATATGCCAGATAGGCTTGGATATGTTCTTGTCTATGCAGTGTATATGTGTTAGAGATGAGAGAGACAGACAGAGAGAGAGAGAGAGAGAGAGAGAGCGCTTGGTTTTTTGTAAGAAATGAACTCCTTGGCCTGAGGAGATGTCTTCATGGGTAAAGTGATCAGCACACAAGAATAAGACCTAAGTTTGAATCTTTAGAAAGCAAGGTGTGGTAATACATGCCTGAAATCCTAGTACTGTGGAAGCAGAGACAGGAGGATTCCTGGGACTTGCTGGTCCCAGTCTAGCCAAATTGATGAGCTCCAGTTTCAGTGAGAGACTTAAAAAACAAGGTAGGAAATAACTGAGGAAGACAACTTCTGGCCTCGGCATGTACACACGTGCACACACAAAAACATTCCCACATTCCCACAAAGAAATGAGCTCTTCAAATCTAGTACCGTGTGTACAAAATTAAGCACATTTTGTATATGAATACACATGATGCTACATTTAGACATGATTGGGTCATTGTGAGGATTCACTGAAGAGGAACAGGAAAGTGCTTTCTAAATGGTGAGATGCTGGAGGTCATCATTTTTAGGGAAATTCTGCAATGTTGGTTAGCAGCATTATTATTTCATAAACTGGAAAGCTGGACCGTGGAGATGTTAAATTGTGTTTTACAACACAGTGAAGAAAGAGAGGAGGAGCCAGGGGTGAGAACCTCATCCATCTGATGCCAGGGCTCGAGCCTTCAATTAACTATAAATTAAATAAGTTGCTTCCCCAGATGAGGAATTGGTGGTGGTAGTGCCTTTAACAGAGATTACTGGCTTTGATAGGAAGTGATGGGTGTGATTTAGACCTTCTCCAGCTGCTGCTGAGTTAGCAATCGTTCCTTATCCCAGGCAGGCCAGTGGCCAGCAGCTAATTCACCAGGGGCCATCCCCACTGATTTGTTCATCAATAACCCATTATCTCTGCCATTGTAAATATCTCACAAAGAATGTGACTTTCTGTGAAGAATACCGAAGCACACCCAGACAGTTTCCTGCCCATGGTCTGGATTTCTAAAAGAGAAGAGAACATATCCCTGCTGGCATCCCACAACAGAAGGTCACAGACACCTATTTCCCACAGTCCTTGACAGGGGCACCCAGTGGGGTGGTTAGAAGATAGGGCCTTTCCATGGGATCATGCAACAACTAGCGTTCACACAGCACTGGGAAAGGGGATGCTGTAAGTGATGCTTCTGCCTCCAGGAGCACAAATCAGCACAGGATGCGTGCATACGCGAACACACACACACACACACACACACACACACACACACACACACACACACACACACCCCAGTAAGCTTGTCTGCAGATCTCAGTCTCAGAACCAGAGAGTCTGGTTTAATAGATTTGGAATCAAGCCTAGAAATGTGAGTTTCATTTTAACTCAGTGGTTCTGGAATTCTGACGAGAGCAGAGAATGGAGAACATTGATGAATGAGGTGTTTTCATTGAAGAATCGAAGGTGAACCCCAGCCTCATGTTGAATGCTAAGATATGGCAGAAAGGCATACAGCCTCTGACCTCAAGGTTCCCAAAGATTAGTTGTGGAACAAATACAAAGACACATGGAAACATGTGACAATAAGTCACCTAAGCTGCACCAGATTTTTTAATTCAGCAGGACAGCCCTGGCTGTAAGAAGCCTTGGGAGCAAGCTTTCCCAACAGCAGCCCCATCCATTCACTCTCCCCCCTCCAACTACTGTAGTTCTCACAGCAGAATTTTTTTTTAAGCAAGCAGAAATTTCTACTCTGGTCACATTCTGGATGGCTGAGATAGACACTGTGCTCAGTCACAATAGATTTAGAGGAGCGTGCCTTACTACCTTCTCTGCCGTGTATGTCCCGTGACGTCCGTGAATAGGGATAAATGTCACCAATGCACCATAAAGGAGGAGACTTATTCTGCCTTTATGGTGTTCACAGAAAGTCGCTCAACAAACAGGAGCTTGATGACCAGACCAAAATTACGACAAAAAGCAGCCCTTTTATTAAATACAAAAAACATTTTCTATGTCTCAACTGAAGAACAATTTGGGAGATAGGGTTCATATCTTAAATTGTTTTATTTTTGAGAATCTCATGCATGTATATAATAAAATATGATCGCATACACCTCCACATTCCCCTTACAGATCCCAGCCTGTGCCCCCTCCCAGTGGTATTTCTTTTCCTTGGTAACTCACTAAGTCCAATTAGTCTTGCCATATGGGCATGGGAGTGGGGCCATCCACTGGAGCGAAGGAAACCTACTAGTGGCCACATGGTCAGTAAGGAATGACTGTCCCTCCTGAGCATATCCATTGCCACTAGTTCCCAGGTAAGGGACAAGTCTTGGAGAGATCTACCCCATCTATGCAGAGATCTTACCAGATCTTGTGCAGAGAGCCATAGCTGCTGCAAGGTCCTGAGTGAAACAGCCGTGTTATGCCCAAGAGGCAGCACCTCAGACCATTCCTCCACACCCTCCAGGTTATGTTCTTTGGAATGGAATGAATGTCCATCCACAGTGCTGCATCCACAATGGGATGGAATGAACTCCCACCCACAGCGCCGCATCCACAATGGGATGGGATGCACTCCGACCTACAGCGCTGCGTTCACGATGCTTAAAAACAGATATCCTTTCAATTAAATGCAGAAGTTGCCATTGAGGATCACCAGACATTAGAAGGGAATTTTTAATATGAAAAAATAAAACCTTAAAAGGTGAGAGAGAGAGAGAGAGAGGCAAATTACAAACTAATCATTTCTAAGAGTTGAGTAGAAAACATAGAGAGAAACTAAAAGAAAAATAGAGAGGTAAAATTGAAGGAAAACAAAACAAAGATGCCTTACTATGTAAAAATTTTATAGAAATGAAGAACATCTTAAAAACAAATTTAAATAAATTCTCAGAATATAAAGCAAAATGACAGATAAATTATAAGTTTAAGTTAATTCTATTTTAAAAAACATAAGTATCAATGTAATATGTGTCAAAAATAAGAAAAAGAAAATAAAAATGAGAAGAAATTATCTGAAACCAATCATCTATAACTGAAAGATGTGTCTGGTATGGGATTACCCATCTTAAGCTTTGGAATGAAAGAAAAAAAGGGGAGAAAGGAGGTGGATGGGGTGAAGAGGGGGAAACGCACGGTTTTGCCTGGGTGATGTCACAGTGGAAGTCCAGAACTTTCAAGGCACAGAGCAGCTGGGAAAGCTCATAAGGAAGGGCGGAAAGTGGACCCAGAACAGCGTGTGGCACATGAGGGAATAGCGCTCTATTAGCATCCTACGTCTCAGCCCAAATGGAAAGAAACTGTGGATCCATGTTTTAATTAAAAATGACTTAAAACTTCGCTTTCTATCTCTAGTCAGTCAATCAAGTGAAAAGACTTTTTTTTTAAAATCCAGGCATGTAAAATTTAACAGCAGAAAAAAAAATCACAAAAAGCCTTCTATGCACCCTTATTGGGGAAACCACCCCAAAGTGAGCATTGGTAAAAAGGAACTGTAAATTAAGTGAGAGAAATCTATGAACTGGGCATGGTGCTGTGTGCCTGCACCCTCGGTGCTTTAGAGGACAACACATTGGGACCTGGAGTACAAGTTGAACTGAACTACACAGTGTGAGACCCTGACACAAATGAGGGAGAAAGGGAGAGAGGGAGCAGGCAAAAGGAAGAGGTCAAGAGTGAGGAAGAATGGGAGGAAAGAGATTCAGCATAAGACTGGAGAGGAGAAATGATGAGAAGAGTGGTATATGCAGACCAAGAAACCAAACCATGGAGAGAGCAGATGGCTGCTCTTTTGGGGGCTTCTTTTTGTTTTTGTTTGTTGTTGTTGTTGTTGTTGTTGTTGTTGTTGTTGGTACAAGATGAAAATGTTTGATTGGTTTTTCATCGCATTTTAAAGATGGAGCAAAAATGCACAGTATTAACTCATCATGAATTTTATGTTGAAAGCCAAGGCCAAGGTAGCAGCTGGAAATGATGGGACTGTTCATCAGCAGGGTCTGATCGTGAAATGACAGAGAAGAGAAACTGACTTTTAATGTGGCTCTCCAAACAAACATCAAGAACATTGACTCGATCCTAGGAATGGGTTCAATGGCTGTGCTTGGCAACCCTGTCTACGCTCAGAAGAAACTCCTGAGACTAATTGTGTAGTAAAGGCTCCATTGCTGCTGTCTCCTACAAACTAGATGTCTCTAGATGTCTCTGTCCACCAAAAACTCACAAGACAGAGAGAAACTCAACTTAGCAGGGATGGAAGCAGATACACGCAAAATTGCAGTCTTGAAAATGGGCTACCCAACTTCTACTTTTTTTTTTTTTAAATTTTGAGTCTTTCTTGTTTTTTGTTTGTTTGTTTTTGCTTTAATTTATCTGTGGTGGTTTGAATGAGATATCCCCCATAGTCTCAAGCATTTGAATACCACCCTCTTTGGTGAGGTTGTTTGAGTATATTTAGATCTGGCCTTGCTGAAAGAAGTGTGTCCCTGCGTGGCCTGTTTGGTTTTAAAAGTCAAAATTATTACCAGTTAGATCTCCTTGATTCCTGCTTTTGGTTGAGATGTGAGATCTCATCTCTTAACTTCTAGTTCTAGCCACTGTGTCTGCCATCTGTTGTAGACCCTAAGCCTCTAGCAACATAAGCTCAAATAAAATCTTTCTTCTCTAAGTTGTCTGATCATAATATTTTGATCACAACAATAGAAAAATAACTAATACAGCATTCAGGAAAATCCTGTATGATTTTTCACAAGCTTATCACAAGAAAACATCAACAATAGAAACAAAATGCTGCAATATACACTTATACAAATTTTTTCCTATTTGTGCTCACAATTAGGTTTCCTTTCACTCATCAGGTGTGGAACGCACACAGAAAATGAGACCCAATTGCATTGTTATTGTATTTAGACTTGTTTGCAACACAGGTTGATGTCTATAACCTGAATCTTTCTACTGAAGGACTCTCATGATAGAGATAGGGACTGGCCAGATTTGATGAACTGAAATAACATTTGGATCATTTGGAAGCAAAACTTCAAGACAGTACATTTGGGTGCTTGCACTGCACACATGCAAACATGGATTTGATCCTCAACACCTACATTAAAAGGCCAAGTGTGCTGGTACATGCTTAATCCCAGTGCTTGGAAGCCAGGGCAGTCATGTCTCTTGGGGGTCACTGACCAGACAGCCTAGCCTACTTGATGGGGTTCAAGCCAGGGAGAGACCTTGTCTAACAACAACAACAACAGCAGCAGCAACAACAACAACAACAACAACAACAACAATAATAATAATGTTAAAAGTAAAAGTACCTGGAAAGCAAAACCTGGGTCTGACTCTGGCACCCATGCACACACTCCTACACATACTCAAACACACACACACACATACATACACACACAAGGTACACTGACAGAACAGGGCAGGGAAGAGAGGGGATGCTATCTGTTGGTAGACTAGAAAGGATCCTGACTTCCCAGGTTTCCCAGTGGCAGCTGCTAGTGTTCATTCCAATATTACAAAGTAGCAGGCACTATATTGAGGGCTTGAATTATTTTCTTCAATGCTCAACTCAAACTTAAGTACTTAGAACTTCTTTACAGATTGAAAAGCCAGATGCAAAGACAACAAATACATATTCTGTAAGGAAGAAGGTGGGGAGAGCAGTTCCTGTGTGCAGGACATTATTCTGGAGAGCCATGAGCACCTGCAATTTGGAAACAGTGTTGGAGAAGGGTGAATTATACCCCTGCCACCACCCTTAGAAGCAGAGAGCAGGCATGTGCTGTCCTGCACGGCATTTCACAAGCCTGCTACTTGTTAATTAGTGCGTAAGTTAATGTCATCTTATTCCTTGACATGGGGAAAAGATGAGAAACGGACACGGCTCTCAGTTTCACAAGCATCCGCTGGATCCGAGCTTTTCAGCAGCCCGAGTACTGGGAGAAGCAGAGTGGGGAGATTGACTTTCTGAGCTGTGAAAAGCGGAGAAAGTTCAATACGTCAGCTGTCAGCCCAGGGTCCCTTGCAGGCTCAGGAATTTCAATTTCAAAGTACAAGAGACTGAGATCTGGAAACACAAGATCATCAAACGCTAATGATTCCTGAAGTCTGCTAGGGGCGTGGAAGCAGGTGGGGAGCGATGGCTTGGGGAAGATGCGCCTGGGCTAGGACTGCTTCTTGAACTGGATTAATTCTGTGGGCGTTTGAAGGAGAGGAGGCAGCCTGAATGGGAAGGAGTGGCCCCCTGAGATATTTCAAAGACCTAGGAAGGGTCGCTTTTTCATGCCTGCTCTGGTCTCTGCTGCTCCCTGGTGAATAGATGAATCTCCAGGAAGGCAGAATTTCTGAAAAGGCAGGTGACCTTCAATGGACAGACAGACAGCTCAACCCGTCTGTTACAGAACAAAATCCAACTTCATAAAAAGAGTTTCCCACACCTTGTGCATCTGTATTGTTGAGGTGTGTGTGTGTGTGTGTGTGTGTGTGTGTGTGTGTGTGCGCTCGCGTGCGCGTGCACAAGCACACGCATGCACAGGCATGCACGCACATGCATGTAAGTACATGTGTGCAGATCAGAAGACAACTTCAGTTGTTATATGGGTCCTGGGTGTCGAAACTCAGATCCTTATGCTCATGTGGCAAGCACTTTGGTGATAGAGCCATCCCCGGCCAGAATCCTTTTAAAGCAAAAGTTCTACAGAGCCAAAGTAGAGATTTGAATTTCACATCTTGACACATTTTGTGCACGTGACCACTGATGTAACTTTCTGCCTTCTGTTGTTGGCCCAGAACTTCACTCAGAAGGTCATCTTACTGTCAAGTAAGTTCTCGTATTTGTCTGTCTCTGCCTTTAGTCTCAACAGAGCTGGGATTACAAATGCGTGCCACCATGCTCGCCTTTTCCTTGGGGATTTAACCTCAGGCCATGCTTCAAAACTGACTGCTTCATCATCTTAGCTATCTCCCTAGCTCATGGTTGAGTTTTTAATTCTCCAGAGGTAATGTGGACATTCATCCTGATTCTCGAACATTCCCCTTTTATACCAGCTGTGCCCACAGGTGTCAGTTCTGTGCCCTTTGTTCTCAAATGGACTCCAGTTTGTTTTGCCAATTATGTTTTATCTCAGATTCTTGGATATTGTTGAAAGTAGCTCATGTCTTGCTATTCTGGAATCGACAGCCAAAAGTACACATTGCAAGACTTCATTTAGAAGAAAGTCATGAACAGGCAGCATTAATGTAGGATGAGAGAGATTTAGAAAAGTATTTCCCTTTGTGGGGACAGGGAATGTGGCTAGTGACCAGAAAGAGTGTGACAGGACTTATGTAGGTGACTTAGAATTATTTCTGTATTAATCTTGATGGAAGTTACATCAGTGGCCACATACACAAAGATGTTTCAAGCTGTACAGTTGAAATCTCTGCTTTGGCTCGACAAAATTATCCTAACTCTGTCAGCAAAGTGCTTGCCACATGAAGACAAGAATCTGAGTTTAGATGTTCAGGACCCAAAGAACAACTCAGGAATAGAGGCACACACCTGTAGTACCAGTGCTGGGGAGGCAGAGACAACAGGATTAGCCAAGTAGGCTAGCGAATCAGTGAGGTCTAGTTTCACTGACAGACCCTGTCTCAAAAATAATGTGAAGAGCAATTGAGGAAGACATACACATTGACACACATGCATGCATACTCACAAATGCATGCACAGACACAATGTGTCATGGTTTGGATGATTACAGAACATGCCATGGCTTTATTTAATGGGGACTCTTTTTAATCAGAAACCTCGGCAGACGTGTGCTTTCTTCCCATTTATTTAGCCTCCTTTATAATCTATTCACTATAAAGGGCTACCAGGGTCTCTACACAGGGAACTTCAGTTCCAATTTCCCAAAAGACATTCCTTGACTTTGCAATGTCTCACCTACAGGTGAGACCTACTGATT